TTCACTTAACATGATGGTTTCCAGTTCATCCATGTTGCTGCAAATTATAGAATATCATTTTCTTTATAGCTGAGTAGTATTCCGTTGTGTATATATACCATAGGTGTTTCTTTTTTAAAAATCCATCCATCCATTGATGGACATTTAGGTTGATTCCACCACTTTTTGAATAGTATGTTTCTTTAATATCTCCAACTTGAGCACAAATATAATATATTATTGCTTTTCAAGAGTAGGCACTATGGGCTCATGAATTACTTGTGAATGGATGAATATATGAAACTCCACACAGTGAGGGACTGTCTCTGCCTTACTTATTTTATCTTTAGCCTAGCACATAATAGTCTCAATGAAAAAAAGAAATGCCATTTGGGGAAGATGAGGCCAGCACATTGCTGCTATTAGGCCTGGCCCATAAACTATAATCTCTCTATGATCTTCCTTCTTCTGTTTGCTCTCAAGGGATAGTTTGCTCTTTTCCCGGGTGTTTATTGTTCTAGAAATCTGACTAATCCCTGGGAGCCAACAGGAATTATGCCTAAGAAAGAAGCTTCACCTTCACAGATCCCCTCAACTCACCACTATTTGAACGAAAATATTCTTGAGTTGTAAGTAATGGGTGAGAACACGTTAAGCTCCATGTTCTTGGGAGCTATGTTTTGCATGTGGTTAGTTCCCTGCTATGCACTGAGAACGTCTCTTTTTTGTGTTTGGAATTGGATATTTAGCCTTCAAAGCTTCAAAGAGAGCTTGTACACACACACACACACACACGCACATATGCACACACAGAATTCTAACCAGAATCTGAATCCAGGATCATGCACAAATGATTAATAGGAGCTTTTAGGTTTCAAACAGATATTGTTTTNGAATTGGATATTTAGCCTTCAAAGCTTCAAAGAGAGCTTGTACACACACACACACACACACACGCACATATGCACACACAGAATTCTAACCAGTATCTCAATCCAGGATCATGCACAAATGATTAATAGGAGCTTTTAGGTTTCAAACAGATATTGTTTTTGTATGTAAGATGGTTCTCTTGATTTTAAACCAGAAGATGTTGAGGAGAAAATGATGGAGTTAAAGAGCTACACTAGCATGACACATGGACTAGGATGAGATCTTCGTCTCAGTGAATGAACTCCTACTTAACGATTGAAGGGAAGATGTATCAGAGTCCATCAGGCTGGTATGGAAGAGAACAGAAGGGCTTATTTTACACATCCTGCCAGGTAATCGGTGTCATTCATTACTGGAGTGTATCTGGACTGGTATATCTGTATCTAGGCTGCCCTTGAACCAAAAATGGATGGGCTGCACAAAGTAACAAAGGCTGAAATTTTGTTGGTGGCGGAGCCTTCAGGACTCACCACAGTTTAATGTATAGCTGTTGAGGGGAAATTTAGTGCTCCACAAAGAGGTGCCGGACTGGATTAAAATCAAGCAGAAATCAAATGATACAACTACTGAGATAAGTGCAAAGAAGAGAAAAAAAAAATTCTCAGAGATCCATGAGAACTAATTAGGGAGGGAAAGACCAGCATAGACGTTATTCAATGTCTCCTTGGAGTCTGACTCTAGATCCTAATTCAACAACGAGATTTGATGACTAGGCTCAACAGTGATTTAAAGTTGATGCTGATTT